ACTATTATTATTATTATTATAATCCTCCTCGACATCTGAGCTCACCTGTCCTGGGCCAATCTAGTTTAGTCTGGTCGATTGTACTCCATCCCTCTCGTTGGGAATCGGGATCCTCCCATATCTCTCAGCTCGTGTGTGTGCGGGCCTGGTAGTGGCGGTCCTCTTGGAATAGTCTTGATTCTGTTCATTTAGCATGACTTTTCTTTTTCCCATTAGATTTTATTTATTGTATTTATTTATTTAATTGGGATTTATTTTAATTTATTTTCTTTCTTGAGGATTCATGATTTTAGTAGTCTTTTAGTGTCATTATTATTATTATTATTATTATTACACTTCTTCCTCCTCTTCCTGCTATAATAACAATAAATAAATTGCATTTGCCCTCCCATTCTCATCTCCATTTAACTTCCTCTTTCTCCGGCTGCCACTAGGCATTTATCATCATCATTATTCTACGATTCCGTCAATCCCCGTCTACCTGGAGTTTACGACCGAACCTCTACAACCTCCCCCTCCTTCACTCCCCGACCTCATCCTCCTTCCTGTCGGTGGTTGACATTCCTCCCCACGATAACAAGACAGATTCCCTCCATCTTCCCGAGATATCTTCGATCCTATTGTTGTTGCTTTACCCACTTTTTTTTTTTTTCCCTCCCTTGACACAACTGTCTCTCGAGAACCTATCCTCTCACTTGTTCCTTGTTCTCGGGACTGAAACTTCGATCTCCTTCACAACCCAACTGCATCAGTGGATCTGGTATCCGGGAGAGAATTAAGAAAATTCGATAAAAGCGAAGTAGAGTGAAGGAAAAGCCAATAAACTCCATTCAACAAGAAGCGCCCACACGCAAGAGAGCGACAGAGTCCAGCGCTCCCCTTTCCACGCGACGCATTCATCCTGCCATCCCTTGCGTTGATTGCGCCTCCGCCGCCCTTCTCCCGTCCGGAAACTCAACTTTGTCAAATCAATCTCAGTCCCGAATAAATCTGGCAACACAAATCTGATTGTTAAGATTTCCCTTGGCGTTGTGGTGTGTGCGTGTCTGTGTATGCGTGTGTGCGCATGTGTGTGTGTGAGTGAGTGTGACTTTTATTATTATTATTATTATTATTGTTTTTTGCCTTTTGGACAGATGGTTCTTCGAGACGCAGGAAGGGCCGTTCCGATCTGATCTATTCGCTGCGCCGCCGCGGGTGGGTGCCGTACTTGGACCATCATTGTCCCTCCCCTCCCCCCATCGAAACAAGTGTGGGCATTCTAATCGCGATCGCATTGCTTGCAGAGTTTCTGATCTCGCAACGCCACTGCAGACCCTCCCGGAGTTCGTTCCAAATCTTTTCATCGGGTCATCTCGAGGTTCGCTTCGCCAATCTATCCTTTCCCGGAACCTCGCTCCTGCGGCCGTCCTACTTCCGCATCTCGCCCGATTGAACCTCTGTCTCTCCCCCCACACCAACCAACCGCCACCAACCTTAGACAACTCTGGTTAAAGGAAGCGGTGGCACTTGTCCCCTACTTTTCCTTCGTGCATCGTTCTAGTTTGGATTTACTATTTAATTCGTCCCGATCCTCTTTTACGTGGTCAACCTAATATTTTGATCCACCATTGCTTCAAACAAACACCAACACCAACTCATCAACCGATTAACTCATCAACCGTCCTATCGGTGTTTTGATTTATTCTTCCAACCTACCAAGTTTACAATTCTGGTCATTGACTTGTTACACAATTTGTGGTAATAGTGAATGAGGTCGAAGACCGCAAACTAATTCTATTGGAATCTTCTGCGTAATGGGGTCTATAGAAGCTGGATTTAGACACAGGTTTGCAATCCCTTCTTTTCTTGTTTTACTTTGTTTTTACAATTTTCTCTAGCTCCTTTGCTAACGATCTTACTTATCAATAGGGAGCATCTGCCAGCGATCGGCTTTCTAGGCAAGGACGGGCCCGGATTCCCTCCCAAACCGTCCTCCGTCGCGGCATCACCGGCACCACTGCTTAGCCCCAGCAACATGTATCCGGGTCAACCTTTACCTTATTCCTATCCGTCGTCGAACACTAGCGCCCCAGGATGTATCTCGCCTTCGGATTCGCGCCGTGCCCTCGAAGAGGAGAAGGAAAAATCGCAATCGCAATCGCAACCGCAAAGACAGTCACTTCCCTCGATTCACGAAGCGTTGGGAAACGATAACCCCCTACCTTACCCAGCCCCTACTTCGGCGCCATCCCAGCAGCCACCGCACACCCCTCATACACCGCACCCCCTTTCGTCTAATCTCATCGCTCGACCGACGGGCGAGGGGCCTTCGGGTCCTCCGAATCCATTCTCCAATGGCCCGTCGACGCCGTTCAGCCGGGAGGCTCCTTTCCCTGCCAAATCACAACTGCAAACGGAGGCATCGCGGTCGAGCTTGGTATCGATGAACACTCAGGATTCGAGAAACCCTTCACTGCATTCGCTCAACTCGGGGAAGTCGCCGACGCAAAGCACAAAGACGGGGATTACGTCTATCGGCGGCTCGCAGGCAGGGTCCGGCTACGAGTACAGCGCGCCTCCTTCGGCGGGTAGCGTGGCTTCTCCCAATGGGTATACTGCGTTTCCCCAACCATATGCGTTCCAGTCGCAACCCCCACCGAATGCGCCTGCATACCCTGGAGCATACGAATCGCGACCTTACGGTGGACCTTGGAAACCGGGCATGCCAGAAACTGCACGTGTTGAGGAGGTTAAGGGGGCGTTTCCGGGTCGTGCGCCGATGGCAGGACACCCGCACGGCGAAACGGTCAAACGGCATTTGGACGCTTACGACATGGAGGCGTCACTCAACGAGGTAGGTTTCCAGGGAATGGACGGGGCTACCGGCCACGTTACAACACCATAATCAGATGCTAATTGCAATAGATTGCGGAGATGAGCAGCCGAACATTGGAGTTCTCGCGGCACTACGCGGCTCGGGCACACCAAACCCAGCGATCTGGTCCTGTTTTGGGCTCTTTGCCCTCTCTACACGAAGTTGAGGATATGATGAACATGCAGCGTCGGAATCAAGATGCGTTGATGCGGATACGAACCGCAGTATTGAACCAGGAGCACGCCTTGGCGGAACAGATGGCCCAAAGAAAGGCGTACAAGATGGGTGGACCCGACGATGACCACATGGCGATCTACCAGGATGAATTCAAGGGCAGTGGCGGATTCGCCGGGGCGGAGTCGAAGAAGCGCCGAGGGGTACGTTTCGTCATCTCTTCTTTCCCTCCCCTTTCCTTTCCCATCGGACCAGTGATCTGGTTTCTCGTCTGCTAGGGGCTCCACAGTCCCTGGATTACTCACTATTGTTCTTGTCATTCGCTCTTGCTAACAGATGCAACAGAAAGCTGCCCCTCCAGGCCGTTGCCACAGCTGCAACCGAGCTGAAACGCCAGAATGGCGCCGTGGTCCAGACGGAGCACGAACCTTGTGCAATGCCTGCGGATTACATTATGCGAAGTTGACGCGCAAGATGGGTGCCAACAAAGCGACATCCTTGGGTTCGAACCTGAAACCGAAGTCGGCACTGGACTCTGCATCGCCGAGTAGCCATTAAACTTTCATTTGTGATTTCTTTTTTTTTTTTTTTATTTTGACGTGGCGTTCAATCGGTTTCAGGGATTAGAAGTGTTCGGCGTTGAGTGACCTGTTTCCACTTCGGTTCGTCGACCCATTAGTGGTTTTCGTTTTACCTTCCCATGGGACATGATACTCAGGACTTCGATCTTGGGCGAGGACATGTTACCAGTGGTTATGTGTATTTCAATTTTCCCTAGTTTACGCCCGCCCCCTGGATCTTGGTGTCTTGATTTGTTTGTTTCTTTTCTGTTCGAAATACCCCCTTTCACAACGTTCTGCAAAAGGCATTGGATAGACTTGTGTTCTCTAATTTGTCTCTTGATTTGTGCGTGGTGATTGCCAGATGGCCACTGGCATGAACACGGATTGTTTTCATGATTTCTCCGTCTGTCTCCCTCCCATCCCCTCTTCACCATCCTATTTTTGTTCATCTGCCTTGGCCTTGGTTCGCAATTATACCCTGTCTTTACCCGTTCTCACGGCAGTTTGCACGGGGGGACGATCGATCACCCTTGAATATGTGTGTGATTTACGAAATGTTCTGATGTACTCACGTCCAACCCCCAATATTTTTTTTAAGAAAGTTTTAAAAGACGACGCATGCAATGAGATCTGCTCTGTACGATATTTTACACCCTAATACCTGTAAGAATAATTGCATGATAGATCATTAATACATACATCCTTGGATAGATCGAACATGGTAACCAGAATAAGAAGCAGTTAGCCACCCCATCTCGATCTGTTCTACGGAAACAGGAAGGCGAGATAACACCGTAGATCGCCGCCCCCCGATCATGGCCATGGTCATGGCCACCTAGCACCGACCATGGCCACACGATCCTTCCCCTCGTTAGTCCTAATAGGGCACCCTAAAGGCACCACAACGTGTACAGACCCAAAGGATCATAGACCATCGGTACCGTAATCCAATGAAAAGAAAGGATGGGTTAGGTAGATGCGTGGCCAGTGGCCACCGCCGGCGACCGATGATCGCCGTGGCGATCGAATCGATCGACCAGGGCAAGGCAGGGACAGGGCAAGGACCAGGCGTTCGGTAGGAGATTCCGAAACGAGGCACCAGATTGAGAGGTGGGAATACGAATTCGGATTTATTTTACTGACATTTTATTTTATTTCATTTATTATATTTTATTTGATTGGATTGAATTGACTGGATTGCTTTTCGCCCCTTGCTTAGACTAGACTGTTGGATCTGGATTGGATCGGATCTGGTCAGGTTGTTATTTGGCCGAGGTTGGTTGATACTGACTCTTTATCCAAGATAATTATGATTATTATTATTATTATTATAATAAGCCGATAACCGAACAGATCCGATCTCACCTGTAGATAACCACGCCACTCAGTTCCCTACCAGGTAACGTAGATCCCATCGATCTGGGCATGTATCTCCATCTAGGTAGATACTACCTACCCAGGTAGACAACGGAGCCTTTACCCGACATCATCAAGGCGATATAGCATTATATAAGCCAAACTCAAATCTAGATCCAACTGGCCAATGGATGGCGAAGAATGTGCTAGAAGGTCCGGGCAGAAACTTTCGGCTGCCTTTTGTGGTCGTGGTTCCGTTGACATCTGTCTTGTCTGCTATCGACCGAGTCGTAGCCATGGTTCGAGCTGAGTGACACCTGGTATGACGGATGTGGGTGACTTTCGGTCGGTTCGGCCGACTGGGGATCGGAGAGGGCTTTTTTTTGGTTCCTTTTTTTATAATGTTTATGGGGGTCATTATGGGGGAAGATGGTTTCCAGGGTAGATCTATTTTCAGTCAAGTTGGATAAGGAGTGACAAATACTCAGATTCATCTGATCTGTCGGTGAACAGATCTCACTTCAATACTGCGGGTATTATTAGGTGGCATGTACTCCGTAGTAGAGTTCTGACTCGGAAACCTCCGATATACAATGAAAGCAATAAATCAAGTATGCACGGCATGTGATCGGCAAACCTTCACCTTGAGCCAAGCCGAGATTGTCTCTAGTAATATCATCGATTCCTCGACCTAAACTCATTGGTAGTAATTCTCCTATACACTAACTGACCGAATAAACATCTCAGCATGTAGTATTATTCGGGTTGGTAACTAGTAACCACACAAGGGTTCAGGGTCTGTGGCAGGTTTGGTTCGTTGGTAGATCTCATATCCTTATCGACATCTCGCGATCGGATCAAGATGCACCCGATCTTGCATGAGCGGTTGGATTCCGATCGAGCCTTGCACACGAACTGCCTAGATAACCACTCAGTAAATGTCTTACTTTGATTTGGGGTCTTTTCTTTCCCTCTCTTACTCAATCTGCTCCAACCCACTATCTACCCATCCACCCAGTCTACTACCGCCAGAAGAGAGGATGATGTGCTCCGGTCTCGATCGGGATTTGAAGGGATTTGCTAATGGAGACAAGCCCGGTCTTCACCGCTGCTTACCCTCCACCCTCCACCCTCCACAACGCCACACCCACCGACGTCCTACTTAACGTGTCGAGGATGGTGTAACATGAATGTGACCCGTTTCAGGGACAGTGGGGTAGATTAATTAGTTGTTTATTATCTTACCGACTCTTTGTCTACTCCATCCTCGAGCCTAGTATAGGAGGATAATTCTAGTAGTAAAATAAGCTAGTATGGATTCCCCACCCCTCAGTCTAAGATAGTGGTAATGTTGCCCCGCTGCCTTAGGCAATCCACCGTGCTCCGCAATCCCTCCGCCGAACAAGAAGGAGAGAGATACCGCCATTTCGGCGGCTATTTGGAATTGCAGTCGCCCAGTCCACCTGCGCGAAATTGGCTGATTTGGAATTCTTGGGTATCGCTTTTGCCGATGGGTTCGGTATTCTTTATTATTATTAGTAGTATTAAAATTATTACAATTATTATAATTATTTAAATTATTATAATATCTTGGTTTTATTATGTTATTCATCATCTGATATCTTATATTATCTTGACGGCCGAGTCGATCGATCTCTACCTCGGTACTTTTTCATTCGACTTTCCAGGCCCTGGCTCGATGAACCAAGCTTCATCCGAATTGGCCGGTGGCTGAACGATGTTCGCCACACCTACTTGAAGTCGAACAGCCACAGCTTCTCCCCCGATCGGCCGACAAAACCGTCTGGTCATGTGACTGTAACCGTTGAACTGTTGTCATTGACGTCATACTCAGCTTGATCCATGTACTGATTAGTAAGATGTATCATCGATTTATGCATGCACGCACTACTACTACTACTATTTCCATCACCCTCCGAAATATTGTATTGGACGAAGCAGAAGGATACGATCACATACAGCTGTTAGCTGCATCTACAGCCAAGCCATGGAGGAGTAATGGAAGGAGAGATCAGAATGCAGGGATCGAAGCTCAGACGTGAACTGGGTGGATCCCTGTACGATCCGATCTCGATCTGGCCTGGATCTGGCCTGGATCTGGCCTGGATCGGAAGCACGCTCTTAGTGCTTATTGACTGGTGTGTATGTATGTGTATGTATGCTGTCGTCATACCGACTGATGGGTCCTTGGATGGGGTTACGTGTGGATGTATTGCATGCATGATCGTTCTTGCTTGCGGGCTGGGTATATTGTTGCCTAGAGGTAGCTGCTTAGTGGTGGTTTGAATCCTAGGCTAGGGTTGGGTGTGTAGTGTAAGTAATCGCTGTATTTAATACTCTTGCTGTAGGTATTGTATATTTTTGATCAATATTGTATGATCTTAGTACTCGTCGTTGACAAGGGTGAAACGCCTGAGACGACCACATATTCTAGACTCTTCTCTCGATTCCAACTACACCGTATAAACCATAGCAATTACACCCTCCCGGAGAAAATAGAAAATCATACTTCAACCACTCCACAGATAACATAGTCGGATTATAAGCTACCACACCGCCAGCTCCGCCCCTCGCGGTGGACCACCCACCCTCCCACATTTGTTCAGCTCCCCAGAGAACTACCCGAGATGCAAGTCATTGGGTCCCCGCATTGAGAGGATTCGTTCGGTATTACTACAGAACTGATACTCTCGCTCTTGTTTTTCTCTTTCCTTCCTTCCACCTTCCAAGGAAATAGGCCAGACTGGATGTCTAATCTCATATTACTACCTAGGTAGTGTCAGCCACAGATTACCCCGTGCAAAGAACAGTCGCAACGCATGTACAACACGAATAGATTACGTTCAGCATCCCCTCATCCAAATCTCTAATATAATAATCCATAATAAACAATCTCCTAACTCTAAAAGCATATCGAAGGTTACTCCATCCAACTTCCTATCCAGGAATACCTCCCATCCTTGCATACCCCAACAGTCAAATAACCTAATTCGCCCACAACCCATGTTTGTCCCCAGCTGTACGGATACGTACCCCATGCAACCTGCACTCAAAGTAGCACAGACCCACCCAACCCATCTGGGAGTTCACCCGGCCTGTCGGTATTCACCGTAGCGGTGTGGTTCATCTGTAACGTACCTTTCTAGGGTGGTAGATTAGGCAAGGTTGTTTATCTTTCAGCTGGCTTTGTCGTCGATGCACGCTACTTCCTGACTGCGTCTCGCGATCGGCCGAGCCGGCGCTGTTCGGTTGTTGGGGCCGATGCTGGGGTATACTCTATCTAGAAAGGGTTATTTGTTCTTGATATGTCTGATTTGTTTCTGTAAGTACGGGGTATACATACATACATACATACATACATACATACATACATACACACATACATACACACATACATACGTACGTACCATAAATTTCAACACCTCCCTTGGTGGTTGTTAGGGTTTGCTACCTAGTATCATACGCGGAGATAAGCCGAGGTTGAGCCGTCCCTGGCTGCCTTCTCATTCATCTACTTTTTCTTTTCCCTCTTTTTTTTTTTTGTTTAGCTTCTATTTTGACTTTCAAATATACTTTCATCTTTAGTTCGCGGTTAGAGCGGGTGGATGGACAGGTGTCAAACTTCCTATTCGGTGAAATGCCCCGTG